TATTATATTATATAAATATAAATATATATTAAGTGTAAAATGTACGTTTCATGACCGTTCTGTTAGTTTTGATTTAATTATAATATTCTGATACTTTACTATACTAACAAAATTTACCAAAGTTTATCAGTTAAGTTGAGATGTTGTTGGGCTGTGGGTTAAAAGGCCCACCCTCCAACTCCAGAAGACACCAGCCACCATTTCTCTCTGCTCTGCTGATCACCGCTCTGCCTCTGGACTCTATTTCAAATGTACAGCGTGTGTTTTTAGAGTTTGTGTGGCTGTTAGCTGAATTACTGCATCTGTCCCTCCTCTGCTCTGAAACACTCAGCAGGCCCTTTATTAAGAACAGGGTCTGATACTTGGTCTGGCCGTTCATCCCGCTGAGATGCTGCTCCGGGTTGGTTTATAGTTCCAGCAGATCCACCAGTTTCGAATAGGGATGTCAAAAGTATTGATACTCAAAAAAGTATTGATACTAAAACGTTGTATCCGGATACAATACTCATGCTTCTCTCTGATTTATTTATTTACGTTGTTTATGATCATTAATGTGACGTTAGCCTTGAATTGCTAGCTGCGGCTAATGGCTAATAATAACACGCCAACATTGATCAAGTCTGCAGGAAGCCAAGGATGGATATCCAACTCCCCCCCCACATCCAAGTCGGCCATTTTGATTATGTCGCCAATAGGAAGATCCCAGGCGAGAAAATCCTAATTGCTTCATGGCAATATAGACACTAATTTAAAAATAGTGAAATGAATCTTGCAAACACTGAATTAAACTCTATCCATAATATTATGTTAAAATAGTGGATGTTAAATAGGTTTGTACAATAAGTCCAAACAAGTTTAACCAAAAAATATTTATTTCTCACAATTATGAAGGGTGGAAAGTTAGGGTTAGGGTTAGGGTTAGGGTCATTAATGTGGGCCACCATAACATCAGTAACAGGTCAGTTTGAAACCAAAGACATTAACCTGTCAAAATTCAGTTAAATTTTGGGGTCTTTCTTTTTATCCTTGTGGTATCAAATGGTATCCAGTATGGAATATTTTCCTGAGTGTCGGTATCCAGTTGAACATTTTAGTATGGTGAGGACCCTGGTTTGGACTTTAACGGGTTAATCTTTACCCCGATGGCTCGTCTTTGCTTATAACTCACCAACTAACTGAACTCTGAGTCGGTGGAGAGAGGGGAGGCCTTTCTGGCCTTTCGTTCTCCAGGCAGGAAGTCCCTCCCTCCGTGTGCGGCGCCTACCGGTAACGAGATCAGAAACACGCCGCAGGAATGTGGGGCGAGAGCTGGATCTGAACCGGGTCGGGTGAGACGGGCTGAGTAACCCGTGTGGGGTGGCTGGCTCTAGAATCAGAAATACTTTAATAATCGTTGGGTTTCTGTAGTTAACTTCAGAGTAGGTCTGACCTGCTCTGTTTGGAAAGCTGTGAGATAAATAACTGTTGTTGTGATGTGGCGCTATAGAAATAAAATTGAATTGAATTGAATTAATCCCAGAGGGAAATATTTAAAAATTTCCCGTTGTAGGCGGCATATCAAAAAGCACGATTTAAAGCTAGAAAAACTTTCTGAAAACTACCTCGTAGAGAGGACAAAACTTCACAGAGTCACAGTGAAGCAACAGACCAAACAGAGAGACAAAAAAGTTAAGGAAGTTAGAAAAAGCGAACATAAAAGTTGGAGCGACGCAACAGGCAGCCTGCAGCTTTCGGGCACAATCTGGCATGCATTCCCAGCATGCACCTGGGCCAGAGGATGCTATTTTGACGTCAGAGTCTCAGGATCCCAGAGTCTGAACCCTCCTGAACCTCCTCCCCCAAACCTGAACCCGCCTCATGGTGAGGACGAGTGGGTCACACTAGCTGTTTCTGGACCAGTTCGCGGCCACTGGAGATGATCTTTGTGGTTATTAACGCTGCTTCGTGTTTGTTTTGGTCCTAAAATCCTCTGGAATTTATTTATCTGATGTCACCTTTGTCATATTGTCATATGACAAAGGTGACTTATTGTCATAGTGATGAGAAGTGTAATATTGTGTCTACTCTGTAAGTCGCATTGGATAAAAGCGTCTGCCAAATGCATAAACATAAACATAAACCTTTAATCTGTCTTTCTGATTTGTCTTTTTTGTGGCTGTTTTAATACTTTTGAGGCTGTCTTGTCCCCTGATAATTGTTTTGAATTTCTGTTACCTGAATATCTTGTCAATTTCTGCATTTTGACTTTTTATTGACGTCTTGTTTTTTTTCCCTTTGGTTTATTTTTTAATGTTTAATGTCAAGGTTTTCTGTTTTTTATGTTGATTTTTTTATGTCTCAGCTGTCTTTCTGAATGTGTTGTGTTTACTTGTTGCTGTTGGGTATCCTCTTAAATGACTTAGTGTTTTTTTTCTCATTTTTTTTTCATCCAGTCCAAACTCTTGCATGTTTTGTTATTTCTGCTCTTTTTTCTGCTTGTTTTTGTGGTGATATTGTGCTGCTCTGTTTGTTTTCTTTATGGATGATTTGGGTAAGTGTTACATCTCTTTATGTCAGCTTTTTGTTGATCTTTTCCCCATCAACAGTCTTACTCTGGTCATTCCTTTAGTTCGGTAACAGTCTTGGTTGTCTCTGTGTCGTCTTTTTGTGTCTTGTTTTTGTGGCAGTTGTACCATGTTTTTTATATTTATTTATTTATTTATTTTGTGCATGACTCATCATCAACCCCTAACCCTGGTTGCCCTCTTACGAATCGTTGTGTTTTGTGTCTATTTTTATTTTCCGAGTAACCTAATTGGAGAATTTGTCCCCCCAAAACTTGGTTGAAAAGTTGCCATGTAGGCTTTGTGTGAGGCCTTTGAAGACTAACGGAGAAAGTAGTACGAACGTTGGGAGTCCAGAGCTTCAAACACACTCGCGCTCTGACCTGATTTTTGCTGTCTGTCAGTAAACAGGCTTTCTTTGTTTGGGAGCTCTTCTGTTTCACCACCTCTAGCAGCCCCCAGCAGTCCCCGAAACAGAAAGAGCAACCTTTGGCAGAATATGATAACAAAGAGTTAAACTCACTTTGATAAACAATAGAAACTTAACCAAGAATAATTCGTAAGTAGCTGAACTAGCCACGTTCAAATTGAAAAGGCTGCAGTCGTTTTAAATCTTTGGATGTGAAACCAAAAACACTGCTCTCTACAAAGGGCCTCTACTGTCAATGCTTTTAAGTTTCTTCTTTAAATCGATTTTTTGGCCTTTGAACCCATTTCAGTTTTTGACTTTCTTATTTTTAATTAACATTTCATTGCCTGTTCATCTTGTTTTTCACTCAGTATTCTTTCACCTACTCATCCGAGCAGCATTTTGCACCACATGGGTTCAAATAAATGATATGAATAATGATATGAATAAGGAAGTAATGAGTAATAATCCTTATTTAATAAGGATAAATAAGGGAAAGATCAGGCCGGGCGAGCTTCGGTTGTTAACACAATTGAGCTGAAAATTTGATGGAAGAAGTCAGGCGATCAGTGATGTGTGATTAAGTTACGTAACACTCTTACACACACTTTGTCATCTTTAATTCATCGGGAGGAAGTGTATATCTTTGCTGGCATGCTTACAGAACATCAGGCGGTCGGTTTGTCACTTAAATAATTAACCAGTGTAGGAATGCGGTCCATGCACAGAGCAGTCCAGATGTGGACTTCCTGCTACAAGTCTGCTACGAGTATATGTATTCTGCATTAGAGCCAAAAACATCTGTTGTTGTTAACCTTTTAGCACAGGTGGTCTGATAGGTTGTTTATGGTGTGAACAAAGAGCAGAAGGACGCCAAAAAAACTCCAAATCGGAGCTGTTGACCGTCCAGAAAAAGCTAAAAAAAGAAAAAGATTCAACAGAGAGCACAGATCCACATGGCTGATTTTAAGCAAAACATAAATGATTAATTCATTTACGTAAAATCCAAGACTTCAGAGAGACACGCAGGTTTGTTATGACGGCAGATTGACTCAAAGTTTGAATGGAAAGTTCCTATGTTGGTTATTTTCTAAACCAAACAAGTAGTCAGTCACCGAGAACATTTTGATTTAGTGTGAGATGAAGAAATAACTTAAACAAAGGCTAACCTTTGTCACATTACACTACAAACTTGCATTTGAAGGCTTGTCAAACTCAAGAGGTTGAAACTAAACAGTCATAAAAAGCCTCTGTCAGATAAACTGTCACCACCCGACACTCTGGGGACTCACTATTAGACAAACAGATTTTTAATGTGAATAGTTGTTTAAATGTTCAGAATGAGAGAAAAAAAAGATCGGATGTTGGCTTCACTCAATGCTAACACTTGTTAGCATTGACTAATAATAAACTACTTGCATTGTCATTAGACAAACATATTTTTAATGTGAATAATTGGTTAAATGCTCAGAATGAGAGAAGAAAAGATAAGATGTTGGCTTCACTCAGTGCTAATACCTGTTAGCATTGACTAATAATAAACTACTTGCATTGTCATTAGACAGAAATCTAGAATGCAAAAGCTAAAAACAGGATCCCTATTCCAGCCAGTCGCTGGTTACCTGCAGCCCCAGACTTATGATGAATGAGTGGCCACTCTTAGGTAGCAGCTAGCAATATAAGGTGGTTTTCTTTAATTCAATTAAATTTTATTTACATAGCGCCACATCACAACAACAGTTGTCTCGCAGCGCTTTCCAAACAGAGCAGGTCAGACCCTACTCTGAAGTTAATTACAGAAACCCAACAATTCCCACCATGAGTAAGCACTAGGCGACACAGGCAAGGAAAAACTTCCTTTTAACAGACAGAAACCTGGAGCAGAACCATGGCTCAGGGTGGGGGGTAGTAGCCATTAGTGTTCCAGGTCAGAAACTATGAAGAACACAGAGGAAAACATATTTCAGAAACTTTAAAAGTCAGTTTCAGATAAAAAATACTTGCAAATTTTGAAATACCTGAGATTTGATTAAAGTTTTTCAATTTCCTGTCTCTAATTGGCATTTCCTATAATCATGTCTCCATCTCTCCACTGTCCAGCTCCTGACCTTTGACCCCTCCGCATCCTCCAATGTGGAGTGCCTGTCTCTTTAAATGCAAATGAGACACAGGCAATCCACCCACTTCTTCAGGAAGGTGTGCCCACGTCGGCACGCTAACGCTACCATGCTAACGCTACCATGCTAACGCTACCATGCTAACGCTACCATGCTAACGCTACCATGTTAACGCTACCATGCAAATTTTGAAATACCTGAGATTTGATTAAAGTTTTTTAATTTCCTGTCTCTAATTGGCATTAGCTATAATCATATCTCCGTCTCTCCACTGTCCAGCTCCTGACCTTTGACCCCTCCGCGTCCTCCAATGTTTCGAGGAAGCCGTTTTCCTGGTCAGTATGAGTACCCGTTGCCGCGGTGACCCCTCCCCGCCGCTGGGATGCACGTTATGGGAAGCGTGTCCCCGACCGAGGGCTCCGCCTTTCAGGAGGAGGATGTAGCCGTCGCCGTGGCAACGTCATCGCCTCCGCCTTCGAGGTTTTCCGACATCAAAGAAACCGGCACGAGATTATCCGATCCTCCCCCTCCTCCACCTCCTCTTCCTCCTCCTGCTCTTCCTCCTCCTCCTCCCCCCCCCCTGCTGCCTCTGGCTCCAGGGCTGGGAGACTCCGTTGTGGGCCTGATGAAGAAGAGGAGGGTGAGGAGTTTCTTCTGGAAAACAATCCCTGAGGAGCAGGTAGAGTTGTAGCCCAGTTTTTGTTGACTATTTTAGCATCTGTATACCCTTTTTTTTTATCACCATCAACAGTCATTTCTACTTAAAGGGGACATATTATGCAAAACCAAGTTTTTGATAATTTGATTATGTACATTTGGGACTGTGGAGGGCCTATCAGCAGGCAAAGTGTGAAAAAAATGACTCGGTCATGTTTCTGTGGGCCGCCTCAGTCTGAATCCAGGAGATAAATCAGGAGGTTTCAGGAGTGGGTAGTTTCTGACGTCATTAGCTCTAGCTCATTATAATATTATTATTATTATAATATTAATATTATTATATATTATCTAGCTCATTATAATATTCCAGCCTTTCACCTGCATGTTGCCCCCCCCCCTCAGCTTACTCCCCTATCTGTGGCAGACGTCGGGGTAGCGTGAGTGTTAGCATGGTAGCGTTAGGATGGTAGCGTTAGCATGGTAGCGTTAGCATGGTAGCGTTAGCGTGCCGACGTGGGCACACCTCCCTGAAGAAGTGGGTGGATTGCCTGTGTCTCATTTGCATTTAAAGAGACAGGCACTCCAAAGCGAGCGCTCTGAATGGGGCTGTTTTGGGTTAGGGTTAGGGTTAGAGTTAGGGTTAGGGTTAGGGTTAGGGTTAGGGTTAGGCAGGGGGACTGAACTGCTATTGGGCTTCATCCTTATGGGATTTTGACCAAAGCTTGTCACAGACATTACATTATGACACCAGGGAACTAGGTTAACTTGTTGAAATAGGGTATAATATGTCTCCTTCAAAAGGTGATGACGCAAATATGAATAAAACTAATTCTTAAATCTTTCGCCTTTAATAAGAAACATTACAGTGAAATGCATCTTGCAGGTCAAAGGTCGCGCCAACCTGTGGACGCAGCGCAAAGTGCAGCGGCATTTCCACATCGACGTCCAGAAGATCGAGGAGCTGTTTGGTCAGAACGACAGTCGGACGGACGCCACGTCCACCAGAGGAGGAAAGAGCAGGGCCTCCTTCAGAGAGGCCAAAGAGGAGGTGGAGTGTGTGTTTGTGCTGCTGTTTGTCAAGGAGGTGGAGTGTGTTTGTGGACAGTTTCCATCGGGGCTCTCACACCTGAGTTACACCTTTTCTCCGTTCCTCCCAACCAGGTCTCCATTCTGGACGCCAAGAGGGCAATGAACGTTGCCATTTTCCTAAAACAGTTCAAAAGGTAAATCTGAGACTCAGACACTCTTTCTTGGTGCTTCTTTTTATCCTGAGGGACAAAAGCTTGGCCAAATATTCCAGTTTTAGAAGATATTCAAAGTTACTTTATCAGGTTTTTTTTGTGTAAATCTGAGATAAAACCATAAAAGAGACTATAATGCAGGCTTTGGATTTAAAGTTTGCCTCCTAATTTATGCTGAGTCATAGATTGTGCCCACATTGATCCTTTTGGAGCTAATCGACAAAACATAACCTCTCTATGGTGGAAGGTTATAGACTCACAGGCTGGATGGGCCTCTGTGAAAGCGTAATGAGACTTCTCACCCTCATCCGCTGGTGTTATAGGTAATAACAGATGTAATGATGCTACCAGGAGGGAGGGAACATGTTAGTGGTCAACCATTGCCTCATAATAAGATAGTATACACAGAATGACACACATTATTATTACAAAGAAAACAGGAAGAGGCCATAAAGACATTCCAGATTACTTTGATTAGACCCAGAATTAGAAAACGACAGGGATTTCAGATATTGACCCCCGTACAAATCAACCTGGCAAGGATCTGTACCATGAATATTGTTTTTTTTTGTGGTGCCATGTTCGATCTTTATGATAATAGATGTTAAGATGCTTTGGGTAATATTCAGATTTTGCAGTATATTGAATGTAAGTTGCTTGTTAGAGCTGTTTCAGACTCTGGGTCTTTTGACATCAAGTGTTTATGAACAAAAGAGATAAATGATGATAATAGACAGATGGACTGACCTGAACTTACAGAGAAACCTCTGGAGGCAACTGGAAGATCTAAATGATGAGGAATATTAATTTTGTGTTGGTCAGTGTCGTGAAATTTAAATTAAAGGCTGTAATATAGCAAACAGTGGAAAATATAGAGAGAATTATAAAGAATACAACATGTTATTAGAATGAAAATAGACCACACTGACTGGGCAGCATCCTGTGGAGAGAACAGCAGAATTACAAAGAGTCCTGGAAGTGTTTATGGTGTATTGACGGTGTCAACATGTTCAGAATGACTGCTTACCAAACACAGCAGGAGACATACAGGCATGAGGGAGGCGGACAGAAGACGACTGAACGTCCATCACTCAGTCAGATACGAAAGTGGTCCATGCCGTGCTGTTATACGTGTTCAGCAGACTCAGAACACGCGGTTTTAAATCCCGCTTTCCACCAGATGTTGATATGTCAGCTCTCATTGTTTCCTGACTGTTTTCATTTGAAACCTGTCGTACGCTGAGTTTGAAGAGCTCTTCTCGTGAATGTCGATGTAAAACCTTTGCATAACTTGAGGTAAAGGTGTCAGGAGGTGAATCTCAGGGAGGACTCAGTTGCGGAGAGGTGGTAAAAAAAAGGTTTAATGAACAAAAAAACGCACTCAGACGGAGTGGATGACCAGACAAAGTTCAAACAAGGCAGATTAAACTATGAGCAAAGTATCAAAGCAAGATTAACAAGACTATGAGCAAAGTATCAAATCAAATTTTCTCGTGACAAGGCAAAAACAAAACTGTGAACAAAGTGCAAAATCCAATGGCTAAACAAGACTGTGACAAACTACAAAAGCAAAATCACTCTTACGAGGCGTGAACAAGACGAGGAACGAAAAGACGAAAGCACACTGACAGGGGTACGAAAAGACACTGGCACAAGACAGGGGGAAACGAGGACTATTTAAACACATGAGGGAAGGGAACCCCAGGTGTAAAAAATAGGTAATCAAGGAACACATGGCAACACACCAGAAATTCTCCCAGACGTGACAAAAAGTTTGGGAATTGTTAAACATTGCCTGCCCTATTAAGAGTCTGATCTTGTGACTGATTTCCAAGTGACTCATTGTGATATTACTCTGGCTAAAACTGCCCTCGGTGTAGACTTGTTTCTTAACAGTTTACAGCAAATTAAACACGATGTTTCTGATTTATTCTAGATTATATTAACCTGGCTGCAGGTCTGAAAGGAGCTCATCTTTTTAGTGAAAACGTGTGGTGTATATTTTTGGACCGATGTGTGATTTTTACACATTTGACTGTAATTTATACCTGTTAATTGGATGTAAAACTTTCCCCCCTTTAGGTCCAACCAGGCGATAGTGGATGACGTTCGGCGTGGCAACAGCGCGTCCTTCGGGGCGGAGCCTCTCAGGGAGCTGCTCAAGCTGCTGCCCGAGGCCGAGGAGGTTCAATTCAATTCAATTCAATTCAATTCAATTTTATTTATATAGCGCCACATCACAACAACAGTTGTCTCACAGCGCTTTCCAAACAGAGCAGGTCAGACCCTACTCTGAAGTTAACTACAGAAACCCAACAATTCCCACCATGAGCAAGCACTAGGCGACACAGGGAAGGAAAAACTTCCTTTTAACAGGCAGAAACCTGGAGCAGAACCATGGCTCAGGGTGGGGGGGCAACTGCCTCGGCCGGTTGGGGGTGAGGGAAAGAGAGAGAGAGAGAGAGAGAGAGAGAGAAGGACAGAGGGAGCAGAGAGAGGCAGCCAACACAGCAACACGTAGACTAGATTAAAAATGGCAATGATATTAATGCTAATGATGAGCAGGAACACGGGGGCAGCAGGAAACTCCCAACCACAGATCCAGACCCCACAGCTCTAGGAATACCAGCAGGAAGTGATAGGAGGAGACTCCCAACCAGGGAGGTGACTCACAAACTTGCTTCTGAGGGGTCTGACGCCTTCCAAGAAACCGTAAATGCTAACTCCAGCTGTGTTTCCTTCCCTGAAGGTGAGGAAGCTGAATGGGCATGGAGGCGACGCCTCCAGGCTCCCGCTGGCCGACGCCTTCCTGTTTCTGCTCATTCAGGTGCCCAGGTGAGCCAGAACACGGACTCCAGCTCCACTAAACCTCATCCAGACCCGGGCTGTGTGAGCAAAAGGGCTTTAACTCATTGACTGGCAGCCATTTTCAGAACAGAGAGTCCCATACTGCCAGAGTTTTTTGAGCATTTTGACTGATTTTTCAAGAGCCACAGAATAGTTTGTGCTATGACTATGTAAACATCGAACACACCAAAAGAAAGAGTAGACTCTCTTCTTTTATCAGGAAAAAAAATGTGTTTCTACCTTATTCCGTTCTTCCTGGACTTGCGTCTCACCGGCGACATGTTCTCTCATAGAGAACCGTTCCCTTTTTCTTATTTGCCTACAGTCTATGCTCATCTCCCATCAAAAGTGACACTGCCCCCTAGAGGGTCAATTTGTTACTACATACTCTGTCTAGAAGCCTGATATTTACGGACAAGCTTTAGCAGATCGTCCCCCAGACACTCTCGTTGAAAAACATAAAAGACGTCTATAGACGTCTTTGGCAGCCAATGAGTTAAAGGGCTCTCACATTCAGTTTTTACAGATGTTTAACATGCAGATCTCTCTTTAGGGGCTCAAATAGGCATCTCTCAGTTAAAGTTACGCTCTTACTCTTAAGTTAATACAACAATAAATTCAAATGAGCAATAACTTAATGGAAGCTCAGATTAATATCAGATAGTTTAAAGCTAATTTAAACCAAAATATAATAGCATGAAAACTCAGATCAGGATATTTTCTTTCTTTTTTTAAACTTTGTTTATTGAACATTTTGAACATAAGACAGACATTGTTGGGACAAATTCAGAGTGTCAATACAATCTCAATGTCACAGTTCTGTCAACCCTCAATCCACCCTGACCGCCCACCCCACCCACAGGCCAAAAAATAAACAAATAAACAAATGAATAAAGGATATTTTCTGTAGGCAGAACTTTTTATGAATCATAGACATTCAGAAGAGAGTCTTTGAGTGCTCTTTGCTCGTCTTCACTCACTAAAGAACTAACTAAGTAGCTTGTGTAAGAACATTTATCTGACCTGACCGTTGTTTTAAATGCAATCGGATTGTTATGAGGCACAGATGGTAGAGCAGGAAGGAAATGTTAACATCTACTGGAAATAGAAAGCTGAAGTTTGGGGGGTAAATGAGCATCTAATTGCTGTATGTTGGTGTCAAATGATGATACAGGATCATATGAAGCGTTTAAATGCAGCATTGTGATGCGCTTATCGTCCCTTTATGCAGCTACTCGGTCCGGATTGAGTCCATGCTGTTAAAGGAGGAGTTTCACGGAGCCTGTGAGGCCATGAGGCAGGATATCAAGATCCTTCGCTCCGCCACCAAAGGTAGCAGCCTCTCACACCTCTGTGTCACTTCTGCTCAAGCTGCCACCTCAGATTTTTCTTGTCAAGTTTACTGGAGAAATGGTAATGTATTTCCACCTCAGACTAAAGGTCTAGTTTGATAATTAACAAGAGACTGAACACATACGTGGGAAAGAGACACAGCTATTCACGCCCACAGCAGAAACCAGCACCTGTTAGAAAAGATGGAGCCAGATGAAATACAACCAGACAAATTCCAAATATAGTTGTTCACTGTGTAAAACGTCAGCTCCACATTTCCCACAGATGTTCTAAAACCTCTTTATATCTGTCAGCTTTGATAAAACCTTCCCAGATGTGCATGTTTCCAACCTCCAGAGGCACTAAGGACCTCCCATACTATCAGGATTTAAACAGACAGCCGATATCTAGCTGGATGGTCGTGCTCCTCTATAGCTTGGAGGATTCAGCATCCACAGTTTCAATAAAACGAACACTTTTTATCCATCTGACCTCGTTAATGAACCTCTGCCCAGCTTTACTACATAGTTAACCAACCAGTAATTTAAAGAATAATAGACGTAGGTTAATAACACAACTGTACAGAAACTACTGTACAGAGAGAGAATGATTCAGTAAACTTTAATAACAGAGTTGCACTTATTGTTGTCTAATCAGTCAGTGTGTCACTCTTTGGAAACATGATTTTCGTCGCAAAAGGAGGGACTTTAAAGGTGTTCTGTCATTACTGAGAATACAAATGCTCAGACACTAATAGATCATTAAAGTGGTGCTCGGTCCTCCTCTCATTAGTTTTATTTCAGTCTTTGTTCTCTCTAGAGGGAAAGTTTTTCTCGTCACAGTGCCGCAAATATTTTTACTTGCCCATTTCTCCGCCAGCAGCTTCTTTAAAGCACAAAAGTGCCTCCAACTTGCTGCCATTAAATCCGAACAAAAACCAAATTAAACTCCAGAGTGCCTCAGAAGTGTCAGCTCCTCCCGTCACACTCTGCAGACTCACACGTGGATTATTTTTAGCCGTGTGTGTGTGAATGAGCTGCTAACTAACCCTCCATATGCCTCACTCACGGTGATAACACATTTCAGCATCTTTTTCTTCTTATGGTACGCATTTCCTCTCCTATGTCGTTCTTATCCAGAGTTAATGTGCTGTGAGGAGCTCCATGCTGTTCTCCACTTGGTGCTGCAGGCCGGAAACATCCTCAATGCCGTGAGTAAAACGGGGGAAAAAAAAGCAATTCATGAATAATTAGGCAAGGAAACAACAGATGGATGGTAATAGAAGGAGGGTATAGAGGCCCCAGCCTAAAGATGCTTCAGAGATGTTTATTCCAGGCTGCTGGATCTCCTGTTAATGAAGCCACTCAGTGTGGTTCTAATAGTCCTCTGCTCCCCTCAGATAGTAACAAACGCTTGTTTGCTGTGTTTGGATCCAGTCTGATTTCTCTTGAATATTTTAAGAAGTCAGCTCTGGTCTTTGGTCGTGGTTCTGCCAGTAAAACATCCCCTTCGGTCAGAGAGACGTCTGCCCGTTTGCCCGTTTGTGATCTCCTGCTCCAGCTTCTACTGAAACTGTTTGGCTTCTGGGATCTGGTCTGCGGCTTCTTTTCCGGATGAGTCGGACCAGCTCAGTGAACACCTTCTCGCTGTCCTCTGCTGCTTTTTCTACAGACCTGGTGATGGCCTCCCCATCCTCATTGAGAAACTTAACCTCTTTCTCTTTGTCCTGGATTTCTCAGCTCCTGAGTCCTTTCTACTGCAGCTGAAACTGTCTCATGACCTTTATTTCCATCCATTAAGCAGAGATAACAGATGCTCTGATGATCAGTATGACAGTTAACCTTCATCACCTTCGTCCTCCACCTTTGTCCTCCAATGTCCCTCGTCCCAGCGGGTTTTAATGCAGCTCGTGCAAAAGTCTTGTCCACAGGGAATAGTCGCTGCATCCTTTAATCCTTTAGTAGATCCAAACAGATGGAACAAGACACCGTTTGTTGACACAGCCCTTCTGAGCCACGTCAGTGAAAAAGACCACAACAGTTTCAGTTTCTCACAACAGAATCTGGATCAAACTGTGTGTCTGCAGTCGTTCAGCCAATCAGCTTGTAGACTCTGGTCCAGGTTGGACACACCTGAGTTTTCTGTGTTTCATAACACATCTGTGCACCTATAACAATGCCTGTCAACATATGGTAAGAGTTAAATAATTTATTTTGGTCACTGGACACATTTTAATACCTAAAACTACATTTCAGCCTGTGTGAATCAGAAGAAATCTAAGATAATTAATGCTGAATGGAAGATTCCTTTTACCAAAATGCACAACCATGTGAGTTTATTTTGGGTTACGTTTCTCACTCTCAGGAAACTGTGGTGTTCAGACCAGCAGCATCTTGGGAAATGACTCGCTCTCTCCTGTCCCTCAGAATAGACTCTAAAACAGCTCTGCTTGTGTACAAGTCATGGGCAAGCACCAAAATACCTTTCTGACATGTTAGAGCCAGATGAACCAGCTCGGACTCTGAGAACCAGGTTCTGGTCTCCTGGTGGGGCCCAGAATCAGAACTAAACCAGGTTCTGGTCTCCTAATGGGGCCCAGAGTCAGAACTAAACCAGGTTCTGGTCTCCT